GGCTGCTGGGGTTTCTATGACGACGGGGACGATTTCGATGGCGACGTCCCCGTCGGGCCCACGCAGGATGTGCACCAAGCCCTTCTCCTCCAGCTCCGCCAGCCGCCGCTCCAGCGCCAGCCGGTAGCTCTCCTGGGGCTGCGGGGCCGGCGGGCTGGGTGGCCGCAGTGGGCTCAGCTGCTCCTGGGGTGGCAACAAGCCCCCGCCACGTCACCAGTGTCCCTCAACACCCCTTAAACCCCGGTCCCACCACCACCCATCCCTTCCCGTGGCGCCGCAGCACCCATGGGTGCTCACCCGCAGGGCCTCCAGCTCCCGCCGCGCCTGGCTCAGCTGCTTCTCCAGCTCCGCTATCTTGGCCATGGAGTCGTTCTCCGCATCCTGCAGCTTCTCCGTCAACTGCAGGGGACGAGGCGACGTCGGCTCAGCCCCGTCCCCGTCCCTCCCTCGGGGCTTGCGTCAGCAGCTCCTGCCCACGCGCCCACATCCCACCTGGTTGACGTGCTCCTGCAGCTCCTCCATGTGCTCCAGCACGGCTGTCTTGGTCTCCGAGTCCTCCAGCATCGCACCCACGTCAAAGACGTTGTCCAGGTAGGCTTGGATCTGCACCTGCAGCTTGTCGCTCTCGGTGAGACGGAGGCTCTGCCATGGGACAGCCGGTGGCACCGTCACGGCCGCTGGTCCCACCTCCAGGGTGGCACCAGGGGCTCAGCACCCACCCGTCACCCACCTCCAGGTACTGGTCCAGCCCCAGGTGGGTGAACTCGTACTGCAGGAAGACGCGGAAGTTCATGTTCTCCACCGAGTGCACCACGATGTTGATGAACTGCATGCAGGCCACCTGCGGGACGGGCACGGGCTCAGCGCGGCCACCAGCATGGCACGGTGGCCCGGTAGTCCTTGGGGACACGGTGCCCCGGGGACTGCACAGTGGATTGGTGACCCTCGGGGGGACAGTGGCCCTGGGCAACGCATGGTGGTTTCACAGCCCTGGGGACATGGGGATGTGGGGAAGGACCAGCTGCTCAGCAGCCCTTGGGGACGTGATGCCCTGGGGACAGTGTGGTGGCTCAGCAGCCCGTGGGGACAGGATGGCTTGGGGGACAGCATGGGGACTCAGCAGCACTTGGGAACACAATGCCCTGGGGACAACACAGTGGCTTAACAACCCTTGGGACACAACACCACCAGCAGCTCTTGGGGACACAACTTATTGGAGCCAGTACAATGGCTTGGGAGCCCTTGGGAAGTGGCACCCCCCAGGACAGCATGGTGGCTCAGCAGCCCTTGAGGACACAATGCCCTGGGGACAGCAGAGCACCAGCCCCACCAGCTGCTCACCATGAAGTCGATGTTGGTATCCTCGTTTCGGAAATACTCCATCAGCTTCTCGAAGCGGTTCTTCTCCCCGCAGACCTGGGGTGGGAGCAGGGGGCTGAGGGTCAGGGTGGGCACCCAAGGGGGTGGCATGGCAAGAGGCACTCACCGGTGACACCATCCCAGCCCTACCTAGGGCCTGTCCAGTTGGGACATGGCCCTGGAGACACATGCTGGCATGGGACCATCAAGCCCAATGGCTGCAGCATCCCCAAGTGAGTCATGGGATGGACATTTTCAGGATGGAGGACCCCCCATGATGCAGGGCTCTGCCACATACAGGGAAACTGAGGCACGAACCCAGCCAGAGCTCAGGTGTCAGTGTGGGGACACTGTGTCCCTGCTGGGGACTCACCTCCTTGAAGTTGTCAAAGGCGGCCAAGATGATGTCGTGGCCACCTCGGACCAGGCAGACAGCAGCCAGCAGCTCCAGCACCAGCGCCTTGGTCCTGTGGAGACACGGGGTGGGAGGGGGTTGGGGGCGTGGGGTAGGTGAGGGGACAGGGGCACGGGGGACAGGGGACAGGTCCTACCTGGCGTTCTTGTTGTTGAGGCTCAGGGTGATCTCGTTGACACAGGCTGGGTGGTTCATCACCAGGCTGAAGCCAGACTTGGGGGGAAAAGGAGCATTAATGAGGTCCTGCGTCCCCCTGTCCCCACCCCAGGGATGCTCTGGGACATCCCTGTGCCACGTCCCCACCAGACATGAGGTTGAGTGAGGAGTTGAGTGAGGACATCTCAGAGCAAGGGGTTGGAGAACAGGTCCCACCCCAAACCCTGACCCCGAAGATGGTACTGGAAGGCCTGGAGGATTTTGGGGGGTCCCTGAGGATGCTGCTCTCTCCCACCTGGTAGTTCATGATGGCACGGAGACACATGATGCAGACATGGACATCGTCCTTCTGGCTGACGAGGCGGGAGTTCCTCAGGGTCTTCCTGCTGTGCGAGGGGTTCAGCCTGGGCGGGCGAGA